TCACCCAGGATGTGATTAGGTTCCTACCAGCAGCTGGGACGTCTACTCTCACCATCACCCAAGATGTGATTAGGTTCCTACCAGCAGCTGCGACGTCTACTCTCACCATCACCCAAGATGTGATTAGGTTCCTACCAGCAGCTGCGACGTCTACTCTCACCATCACCCAAGATGTGATTAGGTTCCTACCAGCAGCTGCAACGTCTACTCTCACCATCACCCAAGATGTGACTAGGTTCCTACCAGCAGCTGCGACGTCTACTCCCACCATCACCCAAGATGTGATTAGGTTCCTACCAGCAGCTGGGACGTCTACTCTCACCATCACCCAATATGTGATTAGGTTCCTACCAGCAGCTGCAACGTCTACTCTCACCATCACCCAGGATGTGATTAGGTTCCTACCAGCAGCTGCAACGTCTACTCTCACCATCACCCAGGATGTGATTAGGTTCCTACCAGCAGCTGCAACGTCTACTCTCACCATCACCCAGGATGTGATTAGGTTCCTACCAGCAGCTGCGACGTCTACTCTCACCACAAACTGTCATATATTGATCCAGATTACGCTTGAAACGGTCCAACGCACAAACCTCTGATATACTATTCGGCAGACTTCCTCAATCAAAACTTTTTTAAATTAAATTAAAACCCATTGTTTCACATTCTGGTTTATCTATATATTTTATACACTATAAATATCCCCTTTGTAGCTCAACAACCACTTGAATACTTCATTGATGTCACTCATTGATCTTCTTACTAACGAAAGTAAATGGTTTCTTTATTCTTTATTCACGTGGGAGATTTTTACTGCCCGGGATCATCTTATTACAAGACGATCCTTATTTGTATTATTATAAGGATAATTATTTTTTTAGTTAAAAGAAAGTTGATATGTTGACAAAGTTGATAAAATCATAAGTTGAAAGATAAAGTAACTTTTCGTTCAACTCCTTTGAAATTTTGTCCATCTTATAACGTGATGCCCAAAATTGAATTGCATAATCCAAGTCGTGCCTAACATGGGTGAGATAATCTAAGTCGTGCCTAACATTGGAGTGATAATCTAGGTCGTGCCTAACATTGGAGAGATAATATAGGTCGTGCCTAACATTGGAGTGATAATCTAGGTCGTGCCTAACATTGGAGAGATAATATAGGTCGTGCCTAACATTGGAGAGATAATCTAAGTCGTGCCTAACATTGGAGAGATAATATAGGTCGTGCCTAACATTGGAGAGATAATCTAAGTCGTGCCTAACATTGGAGAGATAATCTAAGTCGTACCTAACATTGGAGAGATAATCTAAGTCGTGCCTAACATTGGAGAGATAATCTAAGTCGTGCCTAACATTGGAGAGATAATCTAAGTCGTGTCTAGCATGGCTGAGATAATCTAAGTCGTGCCTAACATGGCTGAGATAATCCACGTCGTGCTTAACATGGGTGAGACAAGTATGAAAAATAACAGATGAGGAATTATTACTAATACTTTCAAATATGACTCCCAGCATAATGGTGCTATATTTCGAGTACTTAAGCACTATTTGATTGGTCTAAGATTCCCAATAATCAAAGCGCTTAGATCACTGTCACAAAATTAACTCGTGATGTTGCCATTATTGAACTAATATAGTGCCTCTATTTTCATTTTCTAGGCTAAGAGCTCTGTATTTATTTGCTTTAAACTGCAGTTACAGACTTTTAGCAAATACAGGAGTTTATTCAGGTCACTTTGAAGCAATGCACTCTCAATGACATTTAAGATGTTGCCTATTTTGTAATCATCTGGAAGTTTACTGATGTCGTCAGTAACGGCAACTCTTAAGTCGTTTATGTAGATAATAAAGAGAAGAGTTCACAAGAGCGATCCCTGGGGCGTTCGATTTATATTATTTTCTAGCCCAGTCTTTTTTCCATTTAAATTGACCCTTTGCTTTATATGCAATAAACATGTCATACTTTCCTTCCTTTTCTATGGTACTAGTTTATAAAACAGTCACTAATGAGGTAGGGTTTACTTTATTATAAATACTTTTATTATCAGCAATTTTTAATATGCTAGAAAAGAAAGAGAGCAGCTATGTTAACCAAGACTGACTAACAACTTCCCCACTATGGACATTTAACTAACTGGTCGACAATTGGATGCATGTGATCTATATCCAACTTCACCAGAATTGTCACCACGTTGTCCGAGGCCAGGTCAGAGACCGGGCCGCAGGGACCTTGACCCCCTGGAATCCCGGGGGTCATGTTTGTAACCATCCATGATTCAGGCTCTAGTGACTTATTAATACTTGATTGGGCTTACTAAGATTTTCTCTGACCTTTTCTGAATGGTGATAAATACTCGAACTTGGGCTGGAGTTCATGTTTTTCTTTTAGGTTGATAAATATCCTGAGTTTTGCCTAACTTTGTCAGTTATATCTTTTTGGTTTATAGATATCCTGAGTTATGCCTAACTTTGTCAGTTATATCTTTTTGGTTTATAGATATCCTAAGTTTTGCAAGTTATATCTCTTTCACTGCATCTGTAAATTTAATCACAGATTTTCCACTGTAAAGATTAAAATAAAACAATAATAATTTATTTTTCCTCCATTACACCTTTATGATATCTCTGGCTATATTTTATCTTTTTAAAACTTCCTGATTTTTATGTCATTTAAAAAGAGCTCTCATTTCCACATTTAGAGAGGTTAGAATTTTTTTTTTAAATATATTTTCATTAACACTTGATTTAATTCATCTAGTTGGAACATTTGACTCCTGAATCGAATATATAATGCTGGTTCAAATGTTGTATGTTTCATCTAGTGAATGGAATAATATGCGAGAGGTTGAGTGTGCCCTGTTGACCTCGCCGAACTCCTGCCTAAGTCGGATGTAATCAGCTCAACAAAAATCTTGAACCCCAATTTATTTCTAAGTCGAATATTGCGTCAAAAGAACATCAAATATAATTTCATTGTAATCATACGATGATATCATTTAATTAATCATTATTCCCAGCGTTACCAGGATGTGGTGTTATCAGTATTTATTCCCTGCATCACCAGGGCAAAGTGTTATCAATCATTATTCACTGCATCACCAAGATGTGGATTTACCAACCATTACTGCTAGCATCACCAATGTGTGGAGATATTAACCAATATTCCAAGTATTAGCAGAGTGTGGAGTTATCAAACGCTATTCCCAGCATCAACAAGGGTGTGGTGTTAACCATTATTTCCAGCATCACCAGGGTGTGGAGTTATCAACCATTATTCTCAGCATCACCAGGGTGTGGAGTTATCAACCATTATTCTCAGCATCACCAGGGTGTGGAGTTATCAACCATTATTCTCAGCATCACCAGGGTGTGGAGTTATCATCCATTATTCTCAGCATCACTAGGGTGTGGAGTTATCAACCATTATTCTCAGCATCACCAGGGTGTGGAGTTATCATCCATTATTCCCAGCATCACCAGGGTGTGGAGTTATCATCCATTATTCCCAGCATCACCAAGGTGTGGAGTTATCATCCATTATTCCCAGCATCACCAGGGTGTGGAGTTATCAAACGCTATTCCCAGCATCAACAAGGGTGTGCAGTTATCAGTTATTGCCAGCATCACCAGGGTGTGGTGTTATCATCCATCACTCCCAGCATCACCAGGGTGTGGAGTTATCAGTTATAGCCAGCATCACCAGGGTGTGGTGTTATCATCCATCACTCCCAGCATCACCAGGGTGTGGAGTTATCAGTTATTGCCAGCATCACCAGGGTGTGGTGTTATCATCCATCATTCCCAGCATCACTAGGGTGTGGTGTTAACCATTATTTCCAGCATCACCAGGGTGTGGAGTTATCAACCATTATTCTCAGCATCACCAGGATGTGGAGTTATGATCAATTATTCCCAGCCTCACCAGGATGTGGAATTATCATCCATTATTCTCAGCATCACCAGGGTGTGGTGTTATCATCCATCACTCCCAGCATCACTAGGGTGTGGAGTTATCATCCATCATTCCCAGCATCACTAGGGTGTGGAGTTATCCCTTTGAGCCTTTAAGTAGAAGGATTGAGGAGTGAGACTCATTGCCGTGGATAATACACTTCGGCGCTTCGTTGCCAGGGCAGCTGTTAGAAATATCCGCACGGAAGGTGCAACGATATCTGCAGCTATAGATATCCTAAGTTATGCCTAACTTTTTCAGTTATATCTCTTTCACTGCATCTGTAAATTTAATCACAGATTTCCCACTGTAAAGATTAAAATGAAATAAATAATTTTCCTCCATTACACCTTTATGATATCTCGGGCTATTTTTTACTTTTTGAAAACTTCCTGATTTTTAATTCATTTAAAATGAGCTCAACACACACACACACACACACACACACACACACACACACACACACACACACACACACACACACACACACACACACACACACACACTTGTCTTGTGACCATCGTGTTGGGTGGACGTGGGTTGGGAGCTCCTGGTTCACTAGTGGAGTTGGAGGGGTAATCAGGCAACTTCGAAGTGAAAAAGTGTGTACAAGTGAATGAAAAAACCTTGAGTTTTGGCCAGAGCCATAAGGTAGTGAAGAAAAACAGTTTAAATAGCGTAATTCAAAATAGTTGAGGAAGTATTGTGGCAGTGTGGAGCAGACCTCACCGACCTCTGACCGCGTGACCTCACCCCGGCAGCAACCTTCTACCACCACGTGGGACGACGCTTGGAGATTCACTCACCTATTGTGTTAGCAGGACGGTAAGATACTTGGAACCCCAGTGGGTAAGGTTGCATTATAGCAATGACTAGGTCAGGAAGGGTGTCTAGGTCCAACAGTATTATGATTGAGGAAGAAGATAGGTTTGTGGAGAAGATGATTGGGAAATTTGTAGAGAAGAGGGATGTTTGGATAGGTGATCTAATCCAGGGGATTAAAAGTGAAGTCTTTAATAAGATACAGGGCGAGGTTCAAAGACTCAAACAAGAGTTTATGGATTATATTCAAGAGGAAATCAGGAAGAGCAGGGTAGAATGGCAAGGAGAAATATCTAGGCTTACTAATGAATTTGGCAGGAATAAGGGAAGCTTGGCAGGGGAAGGGGGAGTAGTAGTAGGTGGAGTAGCGGGTGTAGGAGGGGTGGGGGTCAGCCAGGGAGAGGGCCACCAGCATGACCCTGAACTGAGAAAGAGGACAATCATAATCCATGGATTACTTGAAGCCAGGGCACCATCGAGGCAGGAAAGGATGGAGATTGAGGATTTGGAACTACAGGGGATCTTGAGAGACATGAGAGCCCAGATGGCAGGGAATGAGGTGCAAGTCCACCGACGCATTGGACCATACAACTGCAACAGGAAACGACCTGTCCTGGTACAGTTCACTAACGAAGAGGCAGTGGATTACATACTGCATCACAAACACCTACTCAGAGGTAGCGAAAATTACTACAACGTATTTATTGACAAATTCATGACGAAGGAGGAACAGATTGCCCACAGAGCAAGCAAACAACAGTACGACTCTTCCCATTTGAGCGCAGCTACACACCCCAGTGCTAAACCACCCCATGCTAACCAGCTCACACGTGCTTCTCAGGTCACCCCTTCCCCAAATCAGCCGCCCCTGCTTATCTCCCCAGCACATCCCTTGACCCCTCTGACCCCACTGGAGTCAAATTCATCCCACATTCCAAGGACCCCCTCATCACCTCAGCCCCCAAAACCCGTCCAGCCCTCACCCCCTCAACCCCCAAAACCCACCCAGCTCTCATCCCCTCAACCCCCAAAACCCATCCAGACCTCATCCCCTCAACCCCAAGAACCCACCCAGACCTCATCCCCTCAACACCCAAAGCCTACCCAGCCCTCACCCCTCCTCATCCCCTCTCCTTCCATGTGACCCCCCACCCTTGTGAGGGAGGTGGGAGGTCCCCCCCACCCCCTCTATCCTTCCCCCTCCCAACCTCTCAACCTCTATCTGTCTCCCAACCTTACGCTATCTCCCAATCCCTCTATGCCCTCCCTAATCTTCAGACCCAATATGCCCTTCCTACTCCAAACCTACCTACCCAGGCCCTACCCCAGACCCTCCTACCTACCTTCCTAGAAGCCCAGCCCCCAGTAGCCCCCCAAGCACTCTTTCTGAACACCCCCCTCCTGAACTCTTTCATCCCCCCATACACCCCCCGGACCCCCTCAGACACCCCCCGGATCCCCCCGGACATCCCCCGGACCCTCCCCGCCCCCAGTCATCCCCCAGACACCCCCCAGATCCCCCAGATCCCCTCTGCCCCCAGTCACCCCCCAGACATCCCCCAGATCCCCCCAGACCCCCAGAGAAAGGGAGAACTCTGGTACAAGAGTTTCCATGAAGAATCTCAAGGTTTGGTACACCAATGCTGATGGGGTATCTAATAAAGCAGAAGAGATAAAAGAAAGAGTGAGTGAAGCAGATCCTGACATAGTTGCAATTGTGGAAACTAAAATTAATGACATGATCTCAGATGCAATCTTTCCTGAAGGGTACCAGGTGATACGAAAAGAGAGGACACAGAGACAGGGAGGGGGAGTAGCACTCCTAATAAAGCAGAAATGGAAGTTTGAAGACCTGGGAAATCGAGTTACCAATGAGTGCACAAGCTTCATACATGGAACTCTGACAGTAAATGGGAGGAAGATTGTGATCCTGGTAATCTACAATCCTCCACCAAACAGTAGAAGACCCAGGCAGGAGTATGATGACAACAACAAAGCATGTATAGATGAACTGCAGAAGGCAGCAACACTAGCCCACAGAATGAGAGCGAAGCTGCTGATCATGGGGGACCTAAATCATGGAGAGATAAATTGGGAATCAAGGAATCCCCATGGAGGGGACGAAACGTGGGGAGCAAAATTAGTAGATGTTATAGACAGGAATTTCCTGACACAACATGTGAAGGAAGACACAAGGGAAAGAGGAGGAGATGCACCGAGCCTATTAGACCTGATTTTCACCCAGAACGTAGAAGATATCGAGAATTTAGAGCATGAAATACCTCTAGGGGCCAGTGACCATTGTGTCCTAGTCTTTGACTACATGATGGAATTCAAACTTATGACCATGGGACAAGAGATCTGGGAAAGGAGAGCTGACTACAGGAAAGGGGACTATATGAGGATAAGGGACTATCTGGGTGAAGTGCAGTGGGAGGAAGAAATTAGAGGAAAAACAGTCCAAGATATGATGGACCTAGTCATACAGAAATGCCAGGAGGCCGAAGAGAGATTTATACCAACGGTAAAGGGAAAAAATAAGAAGGAATATAATAACCCATGGTTTAATAGACAGTGTCAGGAAGCAAAAATGGCCAGCAGACGGGAGTGGAGGAAGTACAGAAGACAAAGAACAGAGGACAACAGAAGCAGATACAACAGAGCTAGGAACGATTACATTAACATAAGACGAACATCGGAAAGGGACTATGAGAACGATATTGC